CGTTTTCGACGAGCTTTCATCTGGTATAAAATTCATTACTTACCATATTCGCAATTATAGCGTTACCCCCTGGAAAAACATTTTTACGTACCCTGTATGGTATACTATGACTGGACATCAACTAAGTGGTTGTGATATAATCACTGCAGAATTTCTCTGCATAGACTACCAGCATGAAACCAATATTGATTTGAAAGCTAATGACTGAGTTGATCGGATTCACAAATATCTTACAGATCATCTAACAACCAAACAAATTCATCAGTCGAATGTTCTAATCGAATCAATTCGACGCAAGTACCAAGAACATTCTCACATCAAATTTATAATGAATCCAGCAAAGGCTTTTCCTATTGTACAAAGCTATGTCAATTTAGCCATAGTCGAAAGCAAAGCTCAACAAAAGAAAGCAAAGAAATTTCTTGATGCTCAAGCTCAACATACAGATGCAACCGTCGGTAGATATGAAAAGAACTATGGCGCCAAGAAGTCGATTGCTGTAAGAGAGATTTTCGAAGCATGCAAAGGCGAAACACAACAGGTGCTTATTTTTGGACCGGCTGGTATTGGCAAAACAACATTGTGCCGTTATATAGCCTACCAATGGGCAACTGAGAAACTTTGGCCACAATTCAAATTCCTCATTTGGATCCGTCTACGTTTCTTGACAGATAGTCGTTATCCTCCACTATCAAATGGCGAGCAATATTCTATACTTGATATTGTGGAAAAAGCATGCTTCAACCACACTCTCTCTAGAGAGGAAAAGATATCTTTGAGAGAATTGTTCGAACAAAGTAAAGTTCTATGGCTTTTAGATGGGATTGCTGAAATTGGGCAAAATGTGCCAAAACAACTGGAATCATCATTCAAACAGTTGCTAAAATCTCCATACATGATTCTGACATCTCGTCCATATTTTAGTGCTAGACCATCGTATGAAGTACAATATGAAATTACAGGATTCACGAATGAGAATATTGATTTCTACGTGAAGCAATTTTTTGACCGGATTAATAATGAGTCGAATGATACATCGAGCAAACATGATAATTTGTTGTCGTTCTTGAAGTTGAAGTCTACCATTTGGGGAATTGCACATATTCCGATTAATCTAGAACTAATTTGCAGTCTCTGGGCCAACGGGCAATCGTTTAAATCCAAGAAGATGACTATGACGCAGCTTTACAACGAAATTATAGAATGGTTATTTCGACGATATTTGGAAAGACAAAACGTTGGTGATCAACTTAATAAAGAGGGCATCTATAATGTCTGTCACAAAGAACTAACTGCTCTAGAGAAAATTGCCTTTCATGCAATGAAGAGTGACAACTTGATTATTGAGAAGAAGATGTTACAAAACGTACTAAAAGAAATTGAATTCTCAGCCCCAAATCGTCAAGAACTATTTACAAAACTGCTTACTATTGGTATTCTGAAATCGTTGTCCCAAGAACCTATTGGCACTAAAATTGCAATAGAGAAAGATTACTATTTTATTCATTTGAGTTTCCAAGAATTTTTTGCAGCACGATATTTGGTTAATGCTCTACGCTATGGTGATAACAAGTATTATCAAGAAGCGATTCACTTTATCAAACACGAAAAGTACAACCAACGCTTTCTCTTACTGTTTATATATGCATCAGGTCTGTTAACCGAAGAAGGTCCTATATCGCGGGCAGAAATATTTTTCGAAACAATGTCATCGGAACCAACAGACTTACTGGGTGCAAGGCATATACAGTTGGTTATTCGTTTTCTTGAAGAAGCCGGTGGAGCTAATGCAATAAAGCGACGTGTAATGTGGTTAGATCATATATCGAAGTGGCTACAATGCGCTGCAAATAACACGCATGCCATTACGCTTTTTGCATGGTTGATTGCTTCACTTCGACAAAGTCCTTCGGTTGTACGTGATGCCATAATAATACATACATTCTTTGTTTTGCTCAGGGATACGAACAACGGCGTGAGAACGCGAACCGCTGAAATAATTTCCGCTTTACACCTCAACCAGATGTTTCCAGAGTTCACAACCGCCTTAAAGAACGCACTCGGCGACACCGAGATTGGCGTAAGACAGAATGCCGCTATAGCTCTCGGTAATATGGGTGAGAGTGCAGCTAAGCCTGACGTCATCAAAGGATTGTTGACTGCACTTCTAGACAAGGAAGACGTTGTCAGAATATATGCAGTTGAAGCTATTGGCAAAATGGGCGAAAGTGCAGCTCAGCCTGACGTTATCAAAGGATTGTTGACTGCAGTTGGTGATAAGCAGCACGTTGTCAGAGGATGTGCAGTTGAAGCTCTCGGTAAAATGGGTAAAGGTGCAGCTAAGCCTCAGGTGATCAAAGCGTTGTTGACTGCACTTGGAGATAAGGAAGACGTTATCAGAAGACATGCAGCTGAAGCTCTCGGTAAAATGGGTGCAGGTGCAGCTAAGACTGACGTCATCAAAGTATTATTGAGTGCACTTAGTGGTGAGGAAGACGTTATGAGGAGACATGTAGCTGAAGCTCTCGGTGAAATGGGTGAAAGTGCAGCTAAGACTGAGCTGATCGAAGGATTGTTGACTGGACTTGGTGATGGACAACACGTTGTCAGAAGATGTGCAGCTGAAGCTCTCGGTAAAATGGGTGAAGGTACAGCTAAGCCTGACGTCATCAACGCATTGTTGACTGCCCTTGGCGATAAGGACGAGGTTGTCCGAATATATGCAGCAGAAGCTCTCGGTAACATAGGTGAAAGTGCAGCTAAACCTGATGTCATCAAAACATCGCTGAGTGCACTTAGCGATAAAGAAGACGTTATGAGAAGGTATGCAGCTGAAGCGCTTGGTAAAATGGGTGAAGGTGCAGCTAAGCCTGACGTGATCAAAGCATTGTTGGCTGCCCTTGGCGATAAGGACCATATTCTCGGAATATATGCAGGTGAAGCTCTTGGTAAAATGGGTGAAAGTGCAGCCAAATCTGAGCTGATCGAAGGATTGTTGACTGCACTTGGAGATAAGCAACACGTTGTCAGAAGATGTGCAGCTGACGTTCTCGGTAAAATGGGTGAAGGTGCAGCAAAGCCTGACGTTATCAAAGCATTGTTTACTGCCCTTGGCGATAAGGACCAGGTTGTCGGAACATATGCAGCTGAAGCTCTCGGTAAAATGGGTGAAAGTGCAGCTAAACCTGAGCTGATCGAAGAATGGTTGAGTGCACTTAGAGATAAGCAACACGTTATCAGAAGATGTGCAGTTGAAGCTCTCGGTAAAATGGGTGGAAGTGCAGCTAAACCTAACGTGATCAAAGCATTATTGAGTGCACTTAGCGATAAGGAAGACGTTATCAGAAGATGTGCAGCTGAAGCTCTCGGCCGAATGATTGGAAGCGAGAAGATGACAGGCGCGCCACATTTTAGTGCTGATGCAGTTTTGAAATTGTTTGAAAACAAATGGCTTCTGATGGACTCCTCTTGTATTAATTCAACTGATCTCCTTAACGCTGTGTTGCAAACGAGAGTGGATTCATGGCTTCCACTCACATTTTTTGTTGCCTTATATGAAGGGACCGCGGTAACTATTGTGGCGCAGAGTTTGAAACATTATCGTAACTACTCAGTGGAGAAATTCAACTTGGCCAGTCACGGTAACGATAGGTTGTTCAGAAGAATTACGCAAACGTTTGCGGAAGAAGCAGAAAAACTTGGTTGGCCTCGCGAATGTTAGGGCTCTCATGCAACTCCATTCAAATTGCCTCACTAAGTTCCACTGAAACAAAAGCGTTTCGGGCAGTGCAGTATGTATTGAGTGGGAATAGGCATCCGAAGTGGGTAAAGAACGATGTACTGAGGAAGATATTTTAACGCTCACTTACCGCACGTCTTAAAAATGAATCGGGAATATTGGAAAGTTAAAAGCAAAAGTGAATATGTGGGTATCAGACGTTTATTTTGTTGATAATTTCATCTTTTTTTCTTGGTTTAGTTCGGACGCGTTACATTTTTTCTCTAAATATAAGTTATACTTTATCAAACATATTTGTCTACAGCAGAAGTGAAGGTTCGGCCAGAAACTATTTGTATGTCGTTTAAATCTTCTTTTGAGAATTTCGAACTTTTTATTTGTCGAGAAAATATGAAATTTCCCACAAGTATGTTTGATTTTCCGGGAAAATGCACTAAAAAATAGATTCTAGCTGTAAAACCCATAATTTTTCTTGAAAGTGTTTGAGCAGCATCTCACTCGAAAGAAAGAAAACAAAGGAAAATGGTATGTGTTTCTGTTAATAAAGCTGAAAGTTGATGCTGAGAATTAAACTTTCAAAAGTTTTGACTTTCTTTTTTCTTTAGGTGGTTTCGTAAACAAAACAGATTTCAAATTCGTCTTCGGAGGCATAATTTCGACAGGATTTTTGAAAAACTAGTTTAGATCTCTAAAACACAAAGTAGCAAAATAATCGTCCTTTTACAGCGATAGATTACCTGATATGAATTCTACGGAAGCCTGACCTCTACATATTTTATGATTCTCGATGGGAGGAGGCATTTTTATGTTGAATTGAATTTTAAGAAACCTTTGAAATCTACATAGAGGATTCCATTTGAAGCACCTATTGTCCATTTTGTAACAGGGTACCCGTTAATATTCAATACCTAAATGATATTATTAAGTTCCAGTTGGATGGTCGAATTGATAAAATATCATTAACTATATGAGAATCATTCTAGACACTAGATATGCAAGGACTACCCAGGACGATGATTACGACAGCCGTATACTACAGTTTACAAAGAATGATACTGCAGTTTACGATGATGGATATTGTAGTATACGCCAAAATACGACGCTGTTTACGGTGAAGTACGATGGCGTCTACCATGGAGAAGGATTACGACGTCGTATTTTGTTTGGAATGGATGCAACCGTTTACGATGGGATACGTCAAAATACGACGTCGTAAAGCGTCATATACGTTCATTTTTCGCCGTAAAACGTTAAGCTCTGTTTTGGACCAGTTGTAGTCAAATTTGGTTGTGGTTGGAACCTTCGCTGACGATGGAAATCTTTAAATAATCTGTTAGTCGCCGCCGCCGATTGAGCATTTTCTTTTAGCCGCCGTAACGGCGGAAAACCTTTTAATGAGATTCCACCGCCGCCGATTGAAAAACTTCTGTTACACGCCGCCGCCGCCGATTTTTCGACCGGCGCACAGGTCTAATTACGACCCCCTCCCCTTAAATTTCATTCGATCGAGTTCAAAATTTTACCAGAGGTACTTAAGACACTATTGTAGGAGTCATTTTTAGGAATTTTATTTTAGACTTTTCTTTATCGACTTATAGGGTTTCTAAAATTGAAAAACTTGATTTTTGAGAGGTTTTCAGTATTTTTCCTATAACTCGACCAGGAAAGGTCTCAAAAAAATTCCCAAAAATTCCCTCTGCCGAATGGCCTTGAGTATCTCTGGTAAAATTTTGAACTCGATCGGATGAAATGTAAGGAGGGTCGGAATGTGGCACAATGAAAACCCGAGTTTTCCGAACAACTGGTGAACGGCAATAGTTGAGAACTTGAAATAAAAATGAAAAAGTGCTCCATTGAGTTTCCAATCAGTTCTGAAAATACGATGCACTAGCGAGTTTTTAGTTTGTATTTCCTTTTAGTTTTTATTTCACAGCATTTCTACGGAAAGCCCAAAAGAGGGGAGGGGTACCCTTAAACCATTGTTTGAGTTGCAACTCAGAAACGATTTTCCTCTATTCATCGTATTCTCAAACCTTACAATCGCATTACTCGACTTGACGTTCGCCGACTGATGGAAAAAAGTGTTGAAATTTTTGTTCGCTTAAGAGTCATTGCACGGTAGGCACGATCTAAGCTGCTCAATCGATATTCGCGTTTAGAGTTCGCATTTCTATGGATGGTAGAGGCAACACATCTATGAAGATTCCCAAAATTTTTTTGACTAGATAATGGTTCCTTTTGGACTTACAGCATTTTTCGTAA